ATGGATAAAGGGAATCAAGAAACGACGTATTATATTGTCGTTTCTACTTTTTCTTTACATTACTAAACTCATATTTTCATACTCATTATCAGATAACTGTTATATCATCATACACTGAAGGTACTAACTTAACTAGTGATATTTTTCCATCACATAAATATATATGTTATACAGTTAAGTTGCATAAGGATTTCGTTAAGAATATGTTTAGTACATTTTCACATGTTTATTAGTTTTACTGTGGGATCCTAATTTCTTAAATATGTTGAAAATCTTAAACTTTATACACACCGTATAATTAATCTAAATTTTATTTTTCGCATGTGGATATCCTTAATCGTGTACGCCTAATATTTGGTTTCTAAAATCTTAGAGATGTTTACAATCATGCAACGTGAACCAACATTGGCCATGAACTTGTGCAGTGCCTAATCATCTTGGCAAATCGTTGACTTAAACATTTATTATGCTCACTAATTTCAGTTTAAGAAAGCGATACTGGTTAAATAACATACATAATTCGATTTTCCATTGTCTTGAAGCTGAGAAATAGAATCCAGCAACAAAAGATCCACAAATGTTTGGGGAAGAAAATAATGTAAGATGGTAAGATGTCAATTGTCAACCCCAAATGAGCCCAGCATTATATAGCCCATTAGATTATACGGTCCTTAAAAGCCCATTAACCATGAATTATTATTTTATTTTATTTGGGGATCAATAATCACGAGTCATCAATGCATGACCTAAGATAATTTCATATACTATAAACTTTAAGGTATTTACATTTTGTTGCTGCCTAGTAAAATAAAAATAATCACAACACATTAGCTAGTAGCTAAAACAGAAAATGATGGTGAAGTAATGAATTTATCTTTTGACTTTAATTAACTTTTTAAAAATATTTTACTTTGCCTCTTTCATTAAATATTCGAGTCACATGATAAAACACCTAGAGACCCAGGCTACTGTTATGGGCCAGAGAATATTTCCATTTTTTTTTTA